ATCTTCACCTGATGGATAATCGATTCATATGACTCATATGCACCAGGTGGATAATAGTTCCACATGACTCATCTTCATCAAATGGATAATAGTTCCATATCACTCATCTGCACCAGATGGATAATAGTTCCATATGACTCATCTTCATCAAATGGATAATAGTTCCATATGACTCATCTTCACCAGATGGATAATAGTGCCATATGACCCATCTTCACCAGATGGATAATCAATTTATATGACTCATCTTCACCAGATAGATAATCGATTCATATGACTCATCTTCACCAGATGGATAATAGTTCCATATGACTCATCTTCACCAAATAGATAATCGGTTCATATGATCCATCTTCACCAGATGAATAATAGTTCCATATGACTCATCTTCACCAAATGGATAATAGTTCATATGACTCATCTTCATCAAATGGATAATAGTTCCATATGACTCATCTTCACCACATGGATAATCGTTTCATATGATTCTTCTTCACCACATGGATAATCGTTTCATATGACTCACTTCACCAGATGGATAATCGTTTCATATGACTCACTTCCCCAGATGGATAATCGTTTCATATGACTCATCTTCTCTAGATGGATAATCTTTTCATATGACTCATCTTCTCTAGATGGATAATTGTTTCATATGACTCATCTTCTCCAGATGGATAATCGTTTCATATAACTCATCTTCTCTAGATGGATAGTAGTTACATATGACCCATCTACACCAGATGGATAATTGTACTTTACCACCGATTTCATGTTATTGTTTTAGTCCCTATTAAGTTCAAAGAGAAAAAGTGGGATATCTGTGCTCTGCCCAACGCGGGTATCGAAACCCACTTTTTTAGCATTACAAGAATTCTGAATCACTGCCGATCCACCAGAGGGCTAACAGAGGTAAAACATACCGTAGATTATATGATCAGAGACAATATAACTTTAACTTGGTGTAACATATTATAGAAATTTAGACGCGCTTAAAAGACCTCTGTTAAATTATTCCACTTTGTGTTTGTATATCCCAAGTTTTTCAACAGATCAATAGCGATAATGTTCATAAAAATAGATAATTTGCCGATTTTGTTTAGCGTTTCAAGAAAACAAAAATGTATTTTTGAAGAAATAGTGGTACAACCACACAAAATAAAAAATCTAAATATTTTGTTAGATTTTAGGTAATAATAATATGAATTATTGTGGAAATTAATAAAATAACCGAGTGTACGCATTGTACAACAGATCAAAATATATTTTTGATTATGTCTAATAACACTAATTCTGCATTGCCTCCTCACTTCCATTGATATTGTCAACTGTTATTTTAAATCTACATTTCCCCTCACTTCAACCGGTAATGCCCTCCAGTAGCACAGCGGTATGTTTGCGGACTTGAAACGGTATAAACCGGGTTTCGATCCCCGTGGTGGGCAGAGCACAGATAGCCCATTGTGTA